GGTAATAAAAGTCTAGTCTACTGAAAGCAAAAACCTAGTCTATTGAAAGTGGAACGATGGATATCCAAGCTGGTCCATCCGTATAAGCATGCGAAGGCGGAGTGGAGCAGTGTCGGTCTGAGACGTATGTGGGTCTGGTATGGTGGCGCCAAGACTGGCAAGGTAGTCAGCAGGTCTGTTCCCCTCACGGAAAATGTGCGTGATCCTGTGATGGACAGACCGAAGTAGAGATCTGATGCGCATAAGCGGGTGCTGAATCTGCCACGAGCCCTAGTGATTCGAGGTCAGGAGGGTGGCGACACCCGCAGCGTCCAGCTCGATCCAAATATGACTAGAAAGGTGGGCGGCAATCTGAAGGCCAATCTGTAATGCCTGAATCTCTGTGTCGTAGCTCGAGGAGGCCTGAAGGGGCGCGTGGAAGGCGGTGATGAGGGCACCGCTGTGGTCCCGAATCAAGCCTCCTCCTCCGGCAGCTCCGGTATGGTGATCAAAGGAGCCATCAGTGTTCAGCTTGACCCAAGGAGAGTCGGGTCGAAGCCAAACAACAGCTCTGCACCGAGAGGGCCGAACAGGCGGTGAGGAGACCACCATGTAGCGGTGTGGTGGCTTGCAGCCTGTGCAGTCTCGGGCCGTGAGCCTGCCTAATGCTGTGAGGAGTGAAAGATGTCTCTCTACCTGCAAAACAATGTGAGAAAACAAAAAAGTAATATCCCTATGCTTCGCACTATTCCTTTCCGTCCAGGTGAACCAAAGGATCAGACAAGGAATGAGGAAGCCCACGTATCTAAAGTGTGTGTTCTGTGAGAAAAAAACTCAGGAGCTCAAAGAAACTGTCTGTGGTGGGTAGTGATATATGGGTCCAAGTGGCAAAGTGCTCCCACACTCTCCTCACAATCTCACTCTCTAGAAAAAGGTGGGTAAAGGTCTCGGTCTCATGGCGTCCAGTCTCAGAACAACACACACACCGAGAGGGGAAAGAGATCCCCCTCGCGTGTAACACAGTATCCACGGGTATCCGGTGCAAAAGGAGACGGCAAAGGAACACCGAAATGGTAGGGGTGAAAAGGTAGTTCTCTGTAGTTGCTAGGTTGGTTGTCTGATGTTGCTAGGTTAGTTGTGTCTAGTTGCTAGGTTAGTTATGTCTAGTTGTTAGGTTAGTTGTCTGTTGTTGCTAGATTATTTCTATCTTGTTGCTAGGTTAGTTATGTCTAGTTGCTAGGTTAGTTCTATCTTGTTGCTAAGTTAGTTCTAAGTAATTGCTAGGTTAGTTGTCTGTTGTTGCTAGGTTAGTTCTCTGTAGTTCCTAGGTTAGTTCTCTGTAGTTTCTAAGTTAGTAGTTGTTAGGTTAGTTCTCTGTAGTTGGTAGGTTAGTTGTCTGTAGTTGCTAAGAGCTGGTCCCATTTTAAGAGTTGAGCGCATTTTAAAAGGTGGTCCCGTTTGAAAATACAACGTCCTAGTAATAAAATCAATCAGAGTATGAATGCAATTAATGATTAAACCTACCCAACAATTATGTTATTGTACGTGTATACCCACACATATAAATACATGAAAAAATAAATCTTATATGTTACTATTTAATTTCAATGTAAGCTCTCAAAATGTTGGGTAAAAGTCATTTTGTTAATATTTATAAGAGTTAGCTCATTCAAACAAAATTTAAAAATGAAAATAAACTATTGATTTTTTTATTCAACATTATCACCATGATTTATAGATAAAAATTATTTTTTACTATCAAATTTCTAACAAAATTCACGGTTCAATCTCTCAATATTTGTAGCCATCAATTATTATTCCAATGTTGTTATATCACATTAATTTATTATTTCACAATAAAGACATTCCACTACTCCAATCACTAATTTTTCAAACAAAAAAAAAAACCTATATTTAATCAACTTTCATATTCATCGATTCAAAATGTTGCCATTAGACTCGGATCATGAGACTTTTTTAAATAAAATGCATATTTATATTATAAAATATTATAATATTAAATTTAAAGCATGTTATTTTCACCAACAATGGTGATGGAAAAAGGCTAACATGTGGGCGTATAAATCCAAAAGTACACCATTATTATTGG